GGCTCCTGCGGGCGGCGGCCCCGGGGCGCCCCTCGCAACCCCCCGCGCGGCGCCGAGACCCCGCCAGGGGCGCGGATTTCGATCGCGTCTACAGCGGGGTGGTGAGCCTCAGCACCGAGAACATCTACTCCTTCAACTACACCAGCCAGCCCGGCCAGGTAAGACACTCGCTGCCCTCGCTCGACTCCCAGGAACTCGCCAGCTCTCAGAGCCCCGTCGCTGCTTTGGGTCCCCTTTCGGGCGACCTGAGGGACCAGGGGACCCGCGTTCCCTTTCTTCAAAGCAGTCACTGCCCTGCCCGAGCTGCCGCATCCTCCGCGACCGGTCTGGGGAACAACTCCGCCTCATTTCGCGCCTCCCCGGGCCTGGTCGCTGGCGTTTCTGGGCTTTGCAGAGGCGCCGGTTCCTCGCACCGGCTGCGGGTCCTGGCCCCCTGCTGGGCTTTTCTCTAGGAAAGTCACGATTTCCAGGGCTGCGGAGGGAAGGGACCGCACCTCTGTTCCTACTCGCCTGAGGGGAAGGAATCTCCTTTTATTTGAATGATTCAGCCAGACTCTTGGATTTCCTAGCGCATGGGGAGGGAGGGCTGCTCAGAATCTACAATGGACGTGTGTGAGAATGGACGCAAGCTGCGGAACCTCTGTGTGTTCAATAGTCACTTCCTGCGTTTCTGTTCCATTGTCACACGTATGTGCTTCAGCGAAGCCGGAAGACCCAGCCAAAGATATTTGAACTGTAGCCCTCAGCTGATCTATCGAGGCTTTGATTTTAAATAAGGATGGGTAATTGTGTGAAAGTTCTAGACCTATTTCTGACAAGAATTAAGTGAGACAAGGGGAGGAAATGAGTGTTTCAGCAACTGTCTCTTTCACACGTATGCTCTGATTATATAATGTAAGAAAATGCATATAAGCTTTTTCCTTCTAATGCGGTACCTTCTGGGGCATAGAGAAAAGAGAATCCCCCCCTCCCTCAGTGTACCTGCCTCTGGATCTTCTTCTCATATAAATGTGTATATGTATCCCTTACTAGCAGCATTTCCTACTTCCTCAGAAAATTCCAGAACCAGATGATGGGGATACAACTATATGCCTCCCTCTCTAACTCTCACTTAGGATCAGAACTCAGAAACCTGGTAGCTTGGGGTGGTATTGAGCCAGAGGGACCAGTGTGCTCATCACCACTCCCAGACATCTCCCAGCTGTGTGTATTGAGAAAGTGCCCCATCTCCAGTCTGACACCAAATCCTAAGGCACCGTTACCATGGCAGCACAGCTCTCACCCTGTCCTGTCCTCTGCTGACCTTCAGGTCACATGTCCTGAAGTGAGCAGAGTGACATGTGCAGAGCCATTCTGTTGTAGACAAGTGGGAGGGGGCAGTTTTTATTCTCCAAACCCCCTATAAGTGATGTCTTCCTGTCCAATGTGCTTATGGACCAGTTGGCATTACACATGAAGTAAGTTTGATTGGCTCAGAACAAATAAAAGTCTGAAAAACTCCACGATCTCTGGGAGTGGACTGTCAGTTTCCCCCTAAATCATTGGTAAGGAAATGCAAATGATGTGTGCAAAGTTAGTCCTGACATCAGGTTTCAGTATTTCTTGCACTTATGCTTAGAGATAGATTGACTGCTTTTTAACCATTGTTCTGGCTTTTTCGCCCTTAGTATTCAGTGAGTTCCTCTGCTACAGCATGGGATGCACTGTTTGCAGTTGGGACCACCTGCTTGACTTTCCTAGCAAGCAGTGAGATATTGAGCACGGGGCAGAGTCATGTTCATCTCTGTACTCCAGTACCTAGCATAGTGCTTGGCACGTAAGAGGTTTACTGGTTTTGAAAAAATGAATTAATAAGCAAGAGAAGATTTAAGGAATTTTTAAGCTGAAGACAAACAAAATAAAATATGTACTGTTTCAATAGGTTGAAACTGTGAGATCATTTCAGATAAAAACAAAATTTTAAAAATTGTTCTGAGGGGCCGGCGCTGTGGCATAGCGGTTAAGTTCGCGTGCTCTGTTTTGGCAGTCTGGGGATCACGGGTTAGGATTCCAGGCGCAGACGATGCACTGCTTACCAAGCCATGCTGTGGCGGCGTCCCATATAAAATAGAGGAAGATGGGCATGGATGTTAGCCCAGGGCCAGTCTTCCTCAGCAAAAAGAGGAGGATTGGCAACAGATGTTAGCTCGGGGCTAATCTTCCTCACAAAAAAAAAAAAAATTGTTCTGAGATTATACCCTTTCCATTTTGCCTGTATTTGTGTTAAAATGCTCTTTATTTTATGAAACAATGATGATAATTAGTTTTTAAGTCTCTTTGCATAACACAATAAAAAGTTGACAACCTCAAGAGTCCCTAAAATTTTACTAGTCTCAGAAAAACAGTTGGGAACCATGGGACTGGCAGATAACTCAAGTATTTTAATTATTTTAATGTCAGTATGCAAAAATATGAACCAGATGTCCTCCAATCTTACAGCTGAGACTTCTCTTTAATATACAAATAAGACAGTAGAACTCTCAACCCACTTACTTTGGGAAATTACCTTCTTTTCCCTCCATCCAGTATTCCCCCTGATGTCTCCGGGGATGGCGTTTTTCTGATCTATCCATCCAAACCATTATTCTGTTTCTATTGATGGCCTCTGCTCTTCTTGGTCCCTTTTGCCCAATGTTGGATACCAGCAGCCTCCTTCCAATACGATGAACACAATGCTATTGGATGTAGCAGAATTTTACTGAAGGTTTGGAGTAACATAAGGAAATTGAAGAACAGCACAAGATAGGTGATAGATTAAATTAGAAATCTAGGTAACACTGTCATAGCAATTTACCAGCTATTCCCCACCAGCGGAAATTTCAAGATGGTAGCCCTATTTTTCAGGCCCTGGCTTATGACCATCTTCTTGGTCACTCCACACCCTAAATGTTGACCTCCCACTCTCTAAACTTTTGTTACTCTCTCGTGTCAAGCAGTTTTGCCTCATTGCTGACCCCCAAACTCACTAAAGGGCTCTGCTAAATAAAGATCTGTGAACCCAAGAGCAGAAGCTTGGCCGTGACTGTTTTTTCTTAACCTAAACAAAGTCTTGGTGAGGGCTCCCTCCCCTGCAAGGGTCATTTCCTACCCACCTCTCTTCAGTGCAACGAAGAATTTGGTTTAGGAAAAAAAACGTCTAATTTTTTGAGTTTCAATTTTTTTTCCTTTTCTGTTTAAGCCATTGTTATGTTTGCTATTATGTTCCATTTGGCTTGGAGGAGAAAGGCTATTCTAAGTTTAGGCTTTGGTGAAGAAAGGAAGCTGCACAAGAGCCTTTGCTCCTAATCTCTCCTGTCAACCCCTGCATCTCCCATACCCAACACTGTCCCCACAACTATTCAGCCAAGTGTCTGTCATGCTAATTAGCCGAGCTCAGCACCAGAAAAAGTCTCACATGCCTTCCAGGCAGAGAATAATGTAAATATGAAGTCGCCATTTAAAAAAAAATCACTGAAGAATGGAGTGACTGGTTTAAAGAGAATTATGAAAATAATGATTGAAGGTACAGGTTAGGCAAGACCACGGTTCATTTCATTTCATTTCCCTGGAGGGGAGGCATCTGGAGACTCCTTTTCAGGGGAGTAGGGTTTCACTGTGCCAACAGGGTGTTCTATGACCACAGGGCTGAGCCAAACTAGAAGGAAATCACCTTGTTGAGAAAGTTGCCAGGGATATGTTTGACAGGGACACAGGGCACAAAAGCAGGTTTATTGGGAAATGAGAATGCTCTTGTCGAGACAGGTGGCAGCAACAATCAGATGTTTATATATGAGCTAGATGGTGATAAGAAGCCCTTAAGTAAAGATCTAACCATGTACAACAGGATGTCTTTGAGCTTTTCAGTAACAGAATTCATTGTTTGCCATTGATTTTTTTAATTTGAACTGTTTCCCTGGAAATGTTTCTTTTATTTTGTTTATTAAACTGAAGCATTTATCTTTTAATGGCATATACTTTTCTATGCCCAAGGAACAATCCTTGGCTTTATTAATATCAACCAGTAGTTGTATATCTAGAACCAGTTATATCAGCCTCTTGGATCCAGATTCGAAAAGTCTATGCAGTTCTCATGAACGATGAAATATATATCAGGAGATTCCAGTGGTAATTTCTAGCTATATATATTACGAATTACGAAGACGAATTAAAAACTTCGATGTGCTAGCCTCGGTTCTCCCAGTCTCATATGTACTCTCCCCGTGTTCTTTGTGTACCAAGGCCGAGAAGCCTCCTCGTCTGTCCTCCCACATCCTCTGATTGAACTGGACCAGTGCTTGTTTGTGAGAAGAGAATCATCGCATTAGCACATTGCCTGGGTGATTGGTTACCGTCTCAGTCAGTTTGGGCTGCTATCACACAATACCATAGACTGGGTGGCTTAAAAAACAAACGTTTATTTCTCAGAGTTCTGGAGGCTGGGAAGTCCAAGATCAAAGTGTCAGCAGATTTGGTGTCTGGTGAGAACAGGCTTCCTGATTTGAAAACAACATCTTCTAGCTGTGTCCTCACATGGCCCAGAGAGCAGAGAGAGAAGCAAGCTGTCTCCTAGCTCTTCTTATAAGGGATTATTCCCATCATGGGGGCTCCAACCTTATGATCTAATTACCTTCCAAAGACCCTACCTCCAAATACTTATCACACTGGGGACTAGGCTTCAACATATTGTCGGGGGAAGAGGGAGAATCTCCCTCTGCCCTTTCCCTTAAGGGAAATCTTCTGGCTGGCCAAATAATCAACAAGACAGGTTAGCAGGAGAAAATAATACCAAGTTTAATAACATGTATACATGGGAGAAACTCAGAAATGAGCAACTCGTCCCTCTGTC